AAATTAAGTGGGAACCGTGAAGGTGGGCATTCCTGGAGGACAATACTAATTTTCGTTAATTCAGATAACTTTCCTTCAGTCTGTACACGACTGCGTGAGTTCTGGTGAAGAGATTTGATTAGCGTTATATACTCGCTCTGTACTGCTTTCACAGTCAGCTACTGTCACGAGATATCACGGTCAACAGAGTCGAATGACGCAATCCCGTCAAGAAAAATGGTAAGTGTAGGCAGCCGATAAGTATCCCCATATTTCATAACCTGATGCAGGATGAAGATTTGATCGATGGATAGTCATCCTGATTTGAAGCCTGCTTGGTTTCCTCGAGTTTGCTATTCTCGAGCTCCAGTTAAGTTTCAGGTCTGGGGTACCATGTTATAACTGATTCTCATATGGTTGTCACAAGGAGACTTCTTTCTTACAGACTGAAATGATCAGTAAATTAGACAAGTGTGAAGAACTACCTCCGATTCCTATACATTACCTAGTACCTCCGTTAGTCTGCTCGGTAATTTTCTACCTTGGTCCTTAAAGTTTCTGATGCCTAACCATCAGGTTCTGCTGCTGAACTTCGGGGACAGTTGAAGGACCGACATCTACGTTACATTTGGGTTTAGGCTGGATGCTGGGTAACCGAAGCGTTGCTGTGAGTCAGCTGAACCGTGCTTCAAAATATTGTGTTGTAGCCCTCCTACCTGACAATTTGTCAACGTCTTATTGTTTTCATTGATGGTTTCACTACCCTTCGACTTCTTCCTGCTGGTATCCTTAATAAGCCTAAATAGTTGCTGGGTATTACGTGATACTGTTCCCTTCTCGATCTCTGGGTTTCGTGATCCACCGCTGCTGCCGATCATTGCGATGACTCACAGTCATTTTACTTTCGTGCTGATTCTACCCCTTATTACTGTCAGAGACAGATGGATTGAATCTCCTCACATCAATCAGTTTGCGTGAGGATGCACAAATCATCTAGCTTTTGCTAACCTTTGGATATTACTTACCTGCTATATCTACCACTGTTTCTAAAAGAGTTAATATCACACCAAGTTTCCTCAGAATGAGAACTGCTACCACGTTCAGATAAATGCTTAGCTGTCTCCTTCCTAAATGCACACTTGACTTGCTCGTCTTCCGGTTGATTACACAGACAGGCTTACTGCTACCTGTTTCCTGAGACCAGTAAAGTAAAAACATACATATGCTCGTACCAACGCATCATCGGGGTCTAGACAGATACTTCAGAAAGTGTCAGTCGTCTACCGTTTTTCTTCAACGATGGCTTATAGTAATGTGATCTATTTGTGTCCATTGTTGGCTTGGTTTCGGTGGACACTAAAATAGACGGTGTCTCTCCCTATGCTTGACTGTCAGAAGAAAATTGTAACAGACCGTTCGTTGGTACGGGATCCCATATGTACCTCCAAAATACCTTTCCTATTGACTCAGCTCTGCTACCAGAGCGTGAAGGTTGCCTGTTATTATGACTAAACCGAACGTTTTGCTCTGTGTGGAAAAACTGACATCTGGTAGAATCCATCTTCTGTAGCATTCGGATTGTGGTCTGTGGGTGGGTAGGTGGAGATTACGAATAGGCATCGGGTAGTCTCCCTATCCTTTCTAGTTTTTACAGATTCATTCAGTCAAACAGTACACAGATGGTTGTTAACTGGTATCCGGTCGGAGTGCGCCTTCTGCTCTACATCTCAATGCTATGCCTATACCAGCGAGTCCACAAGAGCTAGCCATTGGGTCTCCGGATACTCGCAAAGTGTTTTGAAGATTCGCCACAACGATTAGGTGGGATCAAGTGAATAACCAGACTCGGGTTCTGCATGTGTTTCTCAGAACTAGCATATATCCATGCCTACAGACTGCAGAATTCTGGCGAGTGATGTAGGTTGACCCGTTGGGCATATGATTGGGACGTTGAATACTGAGATAGAAAGTCAACAGTGGGTTTTAGGAGACTAGGAATAGTGTTTCAATGGCCTGGATCGTTGGTAGTGGTCGCAGAGTGATAGGTTGAGGAAGGTGTAAGAGGCTTAGTATTGGTATCACAAGGTGAAGGCAAAGGAGGAGACCAGAGGAAAGAGAGTAGGTTACGTTTCATTGGACCTTGCACACTACTGGAAGCGTGAAGGCATTTGAATGACTGCTAATGACTGACAGATTCAACGTAGAACCTGGCAGACAAAAACGGCTCAGGTTGCCACATTTTACAGTAGCATACAAAGAACAAATGTATAGAAAAATTGCTATTAAAGTAACCAAAGTTGTGCGAGATATTAAACAATCTGAAGATAACGGTTAGTGTGAATACTAAACCTTTAGATGTCCGATTTCCGGCCATTTCACCAAAAATCCTCAACAACTGGTTCCTTTCGTCTCGGTGACCACAACTAGGAGGTTTACTTCTCCCTACATATCTGAGACCAACAGTCAGAGGCTTCAACGACTGGTGCCGTCTTGGTCTGACCACCCTGAACATTTTTCCAACCTAACCCAACTTTCCCCAGTACAGCAGGTTGAGGCAAGCGGTGACTTAGCATGCACAGTACATGTTCCAGCAATCTTAGTCGGCTAAGGTTAATGATTCGAAAACTGATATAGTAGCTAACGATACACGGATATCGACTGTCAGACACCAACATTCAACTAATTCCTAGTTGATTCCCGACCCGACTAATTAGTGGAGAAGATACGATGAACGTGCAGAAACGTGTATTGCGGTTGAAAAACAAAAGACAAGAACAAAAGAAAACACACCTGATATATAGATAGTTCCTCGTTTAAAAGAATGATTTGAATGGTTGATCCATCGTCTCTATCTAACTGTAGACGTGATAACATAAAATACATTTTGATTGGTCCCTCACCAGACTAATCTTTTTTATCTATCCCCAGATCATAACCTCATTAATCGACCCAACCGTCTTGCTTAGCACCCTTCGCCTGACAGCATTGCGGCTGACACTTCCCGGCTGCGCACGCTGTGGAGGTTGTTTCTGTAGGGTACCAGAAAGCGAACATTTTTGTGACTGCATAGCCTATCGGGCATCTGCTTGAGGTCGATCACGTACAAGCTTTTAAGGGCTGCTGGTATGCTATGTGATTGTAACTGCCAGACTGATAAAATCAACGCAAAACTTCGGACACAAGTGCATCACTTCAAGTTGCCACACTCTGCAGAGGCACACAAAGAACAGGCGGATAGAAAAAGAGATAACAAAGTAGACAAAGTAGTATGAGAGAATAAACAATCGGAAGATAAAGGTTAGTTCAAATATTTAAGTTTCAGAAGATGTCAAGGGGTAAATACATCGGCGCCAGTCACCGATTTTCAGCCATCTTAACAGGTGTCCTCAATCACTGATTCCTTTCGTCTAAGCGACCCCAACTAGGTAGTCTACATCTCCCCCACACTGTTCAAGTCAACAGTCAGGGACTTCACTGACTGGTGCCATCTTGGTCTGACCACCCTGAAACATCTTCCTTCCTAATCCAACGTCCCTCAGCATGCCATGTCGAGGTTGGCGGTGGATCGGCACGCACAGTGCCACCTCAATTGACTTGCCTATCTCGCCCAATACCTTTCGCCTGACCTCAACATTGCCCATACGGTGATTCCGCTAAACGCTAGCAATGCTAAGAAGACACCAATAATCAAAAAACCGTAACTGCTTCATGTTTCCTACTGTTAAACGCCATGGTGTCGCAGCCGTACAACAAGACAGAATGGACTGCAGCGCAGTATACTTGTCCTTTGATAGATAGTCAGATATCCCTCCGACGCCGTATGTAACGCAGGTTGGCGAACGAGCCTCCTGTATCCTAGCTGAGATCTTGTCAGTAACCAGCCCGTTTGAGCTGATGTAACTCCCCAAGTAAGCGAAGTGGTCGACACACTTCACTACTTCTCTCCTTATTATTAAGCTAGGAGTGGTTTCAAACCAGTCTTGAGGCATCATTTTATATTTGATGGGTCCAAAACCCATGCCAAAAATGCACAGATTTTTGCTCAAGGCGTTCAGAAGACCCTACATTTCGTCAGCGTCTTCAGATAGTAAGAAGATATCGTCTGTATATTCCGATATGATTGTACTTAAGACATGTAGGAAATCACCCACCTCATGGACCTCGTCAGACCATTGAGCTGCAAAGAGTGTACTACTTTTGATCCCAACTTTTTCTAGTGCCTCTCCTCATAAGGAAGGCAGCATCTGGATAAAACTGCTGGTCATCCAAGGAAAACATCTTACTGCTGTCATACCTCAGCCAGCCAGCACTATGACTTCACCCTCTTGCCTGCATCATATTGTAGTAATGTACACTTTTCGTCTTGCCACTATCCAGCAGACCTTTCTGGCATGGTGGGACCTCTAAGGAACAAGTGTTTCAGTCATTGTAGCTCGTTAGGGATATTTTGGTATACAAGCTAGACCACCGCATCAAGATAGCAGCTATGGTCAGTGATCCAATCAGATAAACATTTGCAAAAGTGACCTAAGATACATCACTTCAGACTTTCAAACTTCTAAACAGCAAAGAAGAAATGAGTGGGTGAGAAAGTAATGATTCTAAAATTAGTAGATGTTTCGGCGAAGAGAATAAGTAAATGGAAAGTGATAGAATGAGCGAAAATGAAAGGTACGTATACCTGTAACATTGCAATTGATTTGAGTCATATGACTAAGAGCCTCCACTAGTGATTCTTGATATTTTAAAAATCACATAAAGACAGTCTACATTTTCCTACATGGTACAGTGATAGATACTTTCAAGTCGCGCAGCAACTACAAGACAATATTAGTTGTTTTTTATGGTATAACTCCTACCAAACCATATGTTAAATACTTTGCACAGATATCCCATGTAGTTGCACAGTTTTCCCTCCCAAACTGACAATATATAAAATATGTTAGTCCATAAAACTGAGGTAGGTGCTTTTCGTTACAATAATATAACCACATATCAAGAGAAAGCACTTCAGAACTTACATATTTCGCGAAAAATGAACGATTATCACCCTGCTCAGCGCGAGCCATTTCTTCACGCTGCTTTTCAAGCCTTTCCAGATATTTCGCAGTTTCTGGACTAAATATCGTAAACTGACGAATGTTAACAATACCTAGATCCTAACTTGGGCTTCTGTATTTCCAAACTGATGGAAAGGTCTGGAAGGTTCACTTGATCGACTGGAATGTCGGACGGGCAGTCATATTTTGGAGTACTCAAATGTATAGCTATTGGAATCCCGACGTCATTCACACTAAGCGTAAGCTTTAACTTCATCCTAGAAGCAACAATTTGGCACTTTCAAATGCTAGATTATGAAAGTTTCATTACTGCTGGAATTGAAGACTCAATATACTCATCATGTGCAAGAAGAACACGGATACTATACAGTTTACCAGCTCTAGCAGATTCCTTTAAAAATATTTAAGAAGTGATATAACTGACTAAAAATTGTTGTTGTTCAGTCGTAGTGAAGATATGGCCATCAGAGACCAAACTCAGTACTCCGGACGAAAATTTAATCACGATTCCATTCATCGAACTGAAAATTCTATCTAACAAAAATAAGTTAGTATACACACCCTACCCTCCCGCAAGCAATGCTCCAGCACGTAGCCAGAAGTTGAGAACTTTAGAGCCTTTAGAAGACAATTATAAACTGGTTTCAACTTACAGAAGCTAGAAGCAAAGTAAGGACAATTGGTGAACGCAATAGCAAAAACATCTTCCAAGTGTCGACCTTGAAGGTACGAATCTTCCTCTATGTTACCTTTCCTTTTCAAGGATATTGGGCTAATTGGACCTATTGAATTCCTTTCAGCAGGTTTCTGTACTAAGACCTACTTTATGCAGTCAGATAGGCAATAAGTGAAGCAGTTCAAGCGAACAAAATCTACTTATTATGATCATTATTCAATTCAAACTCCAAATTTCATGTTCTAGCGAGCCATACTTCCTTAGGTTCTTAGTCTCTTAAAATGGAATACATTCTGTGTTTGGAATGGCCGATTGTTTGCCCATTTCAGAGAAGCCGGAAAGGTCAGAAATAGTTGATTAATCAATCAATTAGCTTGATATATTCAGTGTTGTTATTCACGGTTTGTGAAACCGACAGACGGCTTCTTGCATATAGTCCAGCTGTACCAAAGGATTCTACATTTGCACCACGCATCCCTTCAGAAGTGCCAAAATGGGGGCTACTGGATTCAAATGCGGTTTAGTCATGCTCGTTTGTGTTTATTGGATGACCTGAAGCAAATCAATATCAACGAGCTTGCATAAACTAGATTTTGTGTCCTCGGTCAGCTGTTCGGATAGCTCGTAAAGGAAAGATAAAATAGTTCACCAGGTATTCTAAACAAGAGAAAAGGATAGTGCTGACAGGAAAATGCTAAAACAGAAATCCAGGCAAGTAAACAGAAATGTCACTGATATAGGCGATGTCAGGTAACACGAAATATGAGGCTTCTAATTTCGGAGAGGGGAGGAGAGAATCAAATCATTTCCATTAAAAGCATCAGTAACATACGATCATGCATTACTACGTAACGGCCCAAGTTGCTACACCTCTTGTCTACACAAGCTTGCAAGTAACACCCGAAAGTCAATGGTTCAGAGTTCGACGAGATTCGATGTTGGTACTCAACTTCATAGTTTTAACAGACCCGCAAAGCCAAGGCCGCTCCACCAAGCATCCACGTCATTCTCCATGCTTTCATGTTGCGTTGCACTGCTTACAAGCGATCCTCTAGCCATCCAGCTGCAACGTACTGGCATTTTGACGCAGTCCAACAAATATACGACTCTACTTGACTACTCCCCTGCTTCCCTTCTTGGTCTCCTACTCGTAGGTTAATAAGAAGTACAAATAATCAGTGATTGACCCTAACGTTTGTCAAGTTCCCGTATGATAGATTTCTAAAAGCGACGCAAGTGACAAAGCGCCAAGGCTAACGATTAGGAAGTGGTAGAAAGCATAGGAAATTCCAGAATTCAGTCTGAAGATCAAGATGAGGGTCAAACTAGATATATCTGCTCCACCAACATCGATTCCGGGACACATCACCGTAAGTCTCCAGCCACCGGTTTCTGTTGTCACGTGGATCCTGACCGAAAGGCCTAAATTCCCCTACATGGCCTACATTTATGCCCAAAGATTCCATGTGACGATACTATGCTTTGGTCCGGCCACCCCCGACCTTTCTCCAGTTTAAACCTATCTGACTTAACACTGCGATGAGACAAATGGTGGCTAGGCACTCAAAACACCTGTCCCAGCCACATGAGTAGATGAAGGCTCAGCACCCCACCAACTTGCTTTCCTATTCTCCCAGAAACCCTGCACCTGACTCATACATTACTGGTATGATGAAGGCACGACAAGTGGTCCCTTCTACGAAAGGGAATGATGGTCGAACTCCTGAAGCTCTGCCTTGGACGGCCATGTTTACGGAGGTAAAGCGAAACAGGGCGAAGAGTCGTACAGTACTGTCGACTTTTGATAGGCGGTCCGGTATCATGACGGTGCCATAAGTGATACAAGTTGACATAAGTCAAGTGAAACTTTGCATTCCTGCGGAGATTCCATCGATTCCTGATCCGCCATAGTTGATCCGACCTGCCTGATAAGTGAAGTGATTAATACACCCCACCACTCAACTCCCTATTGTTATCAGGGCACCGCTGAAGACCAGTTCTGCGGTCAGGTTGCATTCGGTTGACGAGGAAAGCATCCCCAACATTATCAGATTACCGCCTAAGGTGTCCAAAAGACCGCACCTTGTGAACGCCATCACCTAACATGACCGACACATGAGTATTCTATGTCTTCCGGGGATTCTCCTGCTATAAGATCAATCGGTGTGACTTACGAAGCGCACGTTAAGTCTCTTGAGTTTTCCTCGTGCTTTTGGATTTTGGCAATCTGGCTACGATCTAGTTACAACTTTTGCCTGCATTTTAACGCATCTATAAGTATAGATTATCTGCTAACTGTTGCTATCATCCCCGCAACTACCAGTTGCACATTTCTGGTTTTCATCGATACGTGAACTTTGGGATAACAGGCTGGACTTCAGTTTGCTTCGCTATTTGACGGGAATTTGTGGCATATGTATATGGATGGCAGCGGTAGTGGTGTATCCGATATGCACCTGATCCCGCTGAATTTACCGTCAAAACCAGCATCCTCCGGATGCAGTTACGCTGCTAGGCGCTTACCCTCCTTAAACCTCTCACATGCGATTATGACCTCCAGGTGTGTTGACAATGCAGCCTCAAAGTGCCGTGTTTTGGGAAGCTAAACCTAAAAATCCTAGAACGGGCTTACCGCCTAGGCCCGTGACACGGAAACGACTTAGTCATCCTCAAAATAGCTACTTTCAGTCTGTTAAGCCTAGCGGTTACAACGCTTTTCAAAGAGTCATCCCATTCCCCCAAATAGGCACATTCACGACTCCCATCTGTATGACACCAGGCCCTATGGCACCTTTATTGACCAACACAAAGGTAGGATTCAAACACTGAGGTGACACAAAGAAAGGGTACATACGTAAGAATGTTCATAACACAAACTCCTCCCACAGTCAGGTGAACAAGGGCTACAGGGGAAACAACGGGTTTGTCTCCTCACAACCATCCACCCAACGTTCAGCTCCAGCGTATGCTCACCCCGGTGTGATGATAGCACCTCCTAACCGGAAGCCTGCTGTTCAGACGAAGTCTGTGATACTGGCACCACGACTTAACTTGCTCAGCGACTCGGTGGGGGTCGTGACGAGGTTTTTAAATACTATAACTATCTTCTTAGGGTGTATCTACCGTCCTCCTTACTCTGCTGTAGATTATGATGACGGCCTTGCAGAAGTGTTCACCCACGTAACGACACCACCCTGCTCCACGAAACTTACATGCAGAGACTTTAAAATGTTTTACATGAAGTTGCAGTCACTTACTTCCCCCAGTCGGTTTGACGATTTTATTAACGTGTTAGATTCTGGGGGGTGGCACCAACATGTAATGCAACCAACTAGACACAATGGCATACCGATGGATTATTGCCTCTTACCCTTCGAGTAGGTCCAGAATCCCTGGACAGTGATCACAGAGTAGTGTTTTGTGACTTCCGACTACCTCCCAGTGCTATGTCAGCTCTCATATCGAAAACAACTGCAATTAGCCGATATAAAAATGCCATCTTGGAAGGGACGCGGTGTATAATGCAACGCTTGGACCGAGGTTCTTATTTCACCAGTAGCTCAACCTATGAACTAAATGATATCTTCTATAGTTCCATGAATACAATTCACGATCACATTGCTCCGGCGGTATCGGCAGTGATTAGAAAGCCGAAAGGGAACTTCATTCCAGAAAATCTACATGTTGGCGTGCGTAGACATGACAGAAACTTCTGCCGATCTAATAACTCTTCATCCCTTGTCTCATTAAAAATTTCCCGTGAGAACTTCAAATCAACTAGGTTACTGAAAGCAATCAGGCAAGAAACTAGCAGAAAAGCACAAACAGGCCATATTCAATCGTCAGCGAGAATTCCGAATTCCCGTCCAAACTTTGCTAGGATAATTCCCAGTAGTTTGATCAGTGATGAGGACATTATTTATGATGACGCAAGATCTGCGAGATGCAAGCTGTTTCAAGCATGAAGATAGTTTACTGGACATAGAAGAACCCATTCCGCCGCACCATTCGCCAAGTAATGCGTCCCTTACACAGAAAAGGATAGCTGATGCAGTTGCTTCACTAAGAGCTCATATACTGCCGGACCCGATGAGATCCCATCTGTCCTCCTAAAAAGGGATGGTGAGGACATACCATTGATCCTTACGAAGCCATTTTCAATATCTCTCACCGAGGCATGCCACTCTGACCGCTGAAAGTTGTCACATATCTCTCACGTATAAATCTGGCCCGACGTAGGACGTTCAAAAGTATGGTCCCGTGAATATTAGATCTGTAGTCTCTGGTATTATGAAGAAGGTGGTTGTGCAAGGAATTACTAATTAAGTGGCTGCGCATCAGCTTCTTTCCCGTATGCAGCATTGATTCTTGAAAGGTCGTCCATGCAGCACTTACTAACCGGATTGTTTTGAGGAGGTCATCTGCCAAAAAAACGAAGGTCTTTCGTAACCGCCCTATTTATTGACTTCAAAAAGGCGTTTGATAAAGTACATCATCATCGGTTGGCTCCAAAGCTTGAATCATTTGGAAATGGTGACCCTCTTTTGTCGTGGATAAGCTCATTCCTTGGACAGCGTACTCAAATAGTAAAGTTCGGTCACACCTATTCCCCCCAAAAGCCTATTTTGAGTGGTGCCATTCGAGGTAGTGTGCTGAGGCCCTTAAATATAGGAAATATTAAGAACCTTATAATGGAGAACTATGTGGTTGACTCTACATATAAACACTAAAATGTACATGAAGTTCGAATAGGTCTGAAAGAATAAGGACTTTTCTCTTCCCCAAATTGGATGGCGTAGTAACTCCCTTTTTTATATCTCCTCGCGCTTTTTCTTTCTCTTTCCATCTGCAGTAACAGCTCCATGACGACGTTCGATGCTGAATTTCAATCTGAACATAATTACTCAGTGGGAATAATACCTGCTGATTGACGCCAACAATTATCGGACCGCTCCCACTTTTTCGCGGATTCTGGACCATCTTCACGATTAACCCGTCCACTGGTCACGATTCTTCTCGCGACGCACTGCCTAAGCATTCATAACAGTTACGGCGGCAAAAATATTTTAAGCAAATGATTAAGCCAGCGACCGATTTGCATACTTACCCGTA